TAAATCACCAAAAACTCACATTATACTGCCACCCAGCAGAATTGAAAGAAAAGGAGATATGCTGCATTGCTGAAAGCTTTTCTGAAGATCAATAGATACTGAATGAATTTCCGAATACTGACTCTTTCTGATCTTGACCTCCCTCAATATTTATGAAGATTTATACGCTGACATTGCTTTGATCAGGTCAGTGTACTAAGGTAAAATGTTCAGTATGCAATCTTTGCAAACTTGGTGATTGTATTATATTTCTATATCCTGTGATCGTATCAATTTCGATGTCTATGAACTTGGAATATTGAAAGATGGAATTCTGAATACTGAGTGTTTTTGTTTTGGAATATTGAAGTTGACGTTGGATCATCTCTCAACTCATGTATTTACTTAAACGGATTTGAATTATTTCATAATTGTATTCCATATTTGACAGTATGAGATGCTTGTAAACAACCCAAAACACGAATTTAAGCATGTTATCGACCTGGAATTCTGCCCTAGTGGGGAGGAGAACAGTCCGCCCCTCGACAAACCAATCAGCAATTGGCATGTCATTCAGCCGTGAGTTGATAACTCTGAAGAATCATGTGCCCTAATCGAGCACAGTAAGCCAAGAATGATAGCCTTCTGTATTTGACCCCTATTCGGACGATATCCACCTCGCTTGGAGCTGAAAACTCCACGACAGATGGTATTTTGCTCTGATAGTCAAGAAGAACTACCGTACTCGTCAATACCGAAAAAGTGCCCTTCGTGTTGATAAATCACGCTCTGGGCTGCGTTATGTGATGGATATAAGTGGAGACCACATATGCTGGCTAAAAATGCATCAGGATCTCAAACGCCTCGTCGCATTTCCTTCACCTTGTGTCAAGGACATCTTTAACCATCACGTGACTGCGGGAAATTAAGGTATTGAAGAAACGATACTGGCGAACCCTTCAGTTTTGGACCTCAGCCCTAGATTAGATAAATCATAGTTCCGATTTCAATATTTGTGGATTTCTTTTTGCGATGTTGAGGTATGAAAAACAAATCAGTTCAAAATCAATATTTATTCAATTTCCGAATAATAAAAATGATTATGGTTTATATCATATTTCAGTAATAAATGAACGGTGGTTCCATATATTTGTCAAAAATTGCCATCTGCTCATTACACTGCCTTGGGTTCTTCTTTAGTTCCAATGTGTCATTTATGTTGAGATAAAGGAGGCTCTCTCCATTAGTTGTAGGCCATGTGATATTCTCCAGAAGAGTATCTTTTTCGGGTGTTGGATTTCTGAAAAAAAAGTTGACCTCATGAGCGTCGAGATTTCAGTTCTGACAGACTGATTCAAAAAGTTAACAATTCAACCTGTATGTCACCAGAATCTCTAAAATCTCTCAAATTTCTCAGTGATTATTGAATGCATTTTACGGATTAGAATGCAAATGATCATTCTGGTCTCATTTTGATTATCTATATGTAATATGGTTCCAGAAGAAGAAAATATCTTTTTAACTTGATGACGTTAATTTCGTCGGTAGAATTATCACGTTTCTGTTGTGCGAAATATTGTTGGATTGCTTTGATTGAGTTGAGCATATACTTTTTGTTATAGATATGTCATGGAACACATCGATGCTGTGTGGAATTGATGACTGACGACATGCCCGAAGAAGCCATCGTATGGCGAAACACGTGTTGAGTTTTTGTAAAACTATTTAGTGAAAATCTTATAGTAATTCATTTTTCCATAATGGATGATATATAAATCGGAAATGAAGTTTGTCACTCACAATAAAATCTGTATCTAATATAAATCGATAAAAATTGCAATAAAGTTTGTTGTAAACTACTACTCACTGATATTTCACGAAGTTGGTGATCAATTTGACGTATCGGTGCAGTGTTAGTTGGTCTTTCTCAGGAAATTTGTTCAGGTCGAAATTGTTGCCTACTTCCCATAAATAGTGTAAATCTCCACCGTGCTGTACTCGTCCAGTTCCTAGAAAAACAAATTGAGGATGAAATTTTGTCGATGTGAACAACCACATTCGAACGACCATATACATATTCAAATAATACTTCATGTTATATTTGTACAGAATAGTGTAACTATTATACTAAATCTATCAAAGCACCCACGTCGAACCGACCGGCCGTCCGTCTGAAATAGTTGTTGATTTTTCCTCCCTTGGATCCAAACCAGAAATGAACAGACCATTAGAAAAACCACATTTAGTGCTGGTCTCTATAATATTTCAGATACTTTAATAAATCAATGGCAGTCAATACTCGCTCCTCTTTCGCCAATATTGATGGATGCATCCCTGAATGAGGAAAAATTGTCCCTATCATGAAAGAACTACACGATAGTAGCTATTTTTGAAAATGCAGACAAGTTGGATCCTTCAAACCATCGTCAAATTAGCTCTATGTGCCTCTTCTGCCAATTCATGAAGAGAAACTATTAATTTTTTTCTCAAAGACTGGAGTACAAAAAAACTGCAACATGGATTTCTCCGTGGTCAATACACCATTCCAGATTTTTTACACTGTGTCAACTATTGGTCTCCTGAACTTGATGTGAGTTATGGTTTCGATGTTGATCTACCTTGACTTCAAAAAAGCATTCGACATGGAAAACTACTATATAAGTACAGTATTTTGGTGCTGTTACCATGAATTCGAAATTTTTCATCGAACATATATTACCGTGTTCAAAAAGATGACCAACATTCAGAACCATATCCATCAAAGTGGAGTTCCCCAGTAACAGGCCCACTACTTTTTAATATATTTGTTAGCGATTTCTGAGTGGATTCCGAACCAGTTTTCCTCTTTGCCAATGATACAAAATTGTATGCAAACCCAAACTAGGACAGAAATGACGGCCAATGAGCTTCATCGAGTATTGAAGTGGTGTCAAAATAGCTCCTAGATCCGAATACGCAAAAAAGCAATGTTCTACATCTTGTTTCTCAAAACCCAGAGTAGTAGTAATTTAGGGTGTTCCACCAAAACCCGTAAAGCACTAAAAAGAACTTGATGTTATGATGAGTCATGATATAGAATGGGAAACACACACTGAAAAAATAGTGAATTTGGACATTTTTTCCGCAAAAAATGATGGAGGACTGAGTGAGAAATAGTGAGGGAACGATTCCTAATAAAACTATGGTGCGAGTCTTCCACTTGAATAGCATACCAATTGCTTCATCAATCATTGCTTTTGAGAAGTGCTCTTTTCCCAAGGACAAAACATGAGCACTCTAAGAGCAGTGACTGTGCGAAAGTAGCGATTCACGTTGGAGTTGAATTGCTGGTGATAATTTTTTTTTGGAAAAACGTTCTCGGGAAGTGCATTTCACACAAACGCAGTTCTCCAAATAGAAGAATTCTTGAACAGTGATATTTGAGGTATACTGAGTTGAACCTCAAAACGATGAGCAGCCACAAACCTTCGTTTTTTCTGATATGTACCGCTCTTGAACATTCCCGTGAAAGTATCTATGGAAGAGAGACAAATTTTCAACCTACCTTCGATGTGCCAGACTATCAAGGTGGCAAGTGATGTTCGTGTCTCCAAACGGGCGAATGGCTCTTTTCTAGATGCAATCCAGCAGCTTCAAGGTATGCTTAGTTTCATAACGCATCAAAAGTTGCTGAGGTGTGTGCAGTTTTCTGTTGGTCCCCAACAAACTTATCAAAGCAGAAAGCGAAATAGTCTGTCGAGACATTATTATATCCGGTTCGGAAACATTCATCTTTTTGAAGAGAAGCGATACCTGGGTTTTCGTGGCATTGAATTGAACCTGGTTACTTTCACTCCGATTCAAAATTACCTCTACATCCTCATTACCTCCTGCTGCCGGGACTATGTGCATCCGCAACCGATATCCTGAATCCAAATGGAATGACGAGAGAAGTGTGCTGTTGTCAGCAGAGCAATATATTAGACTCTTGGTTTTTTCCATAAAGTCATTGATATACAAAGAAAGGAGGATTGGACACGATATGGATTTCCACAAAAATAAACAAGTCGTCAATCAAAGAAGTGAAATAAAAGAAGTTTTTCTTAGAGAATGGGAAATATTCCAGTGATGGCAGGAAGAACCATATGATCTTGACTATTGCATTAGTGTCGCAAAATATCCAAGAGAAAGAATTGAAAACATATGGAACAAAAAATATTAACTTTCATTTTGATGGTGGTCCTCAAACCACTATTTTTGGCATAGATTCTAATGAATAGAAACATATTTGATCAGACTGGTCTTTTTCCATCTAATTTCACCAATATTTTCCATTGTATTGCAAGCAAGCAGCAAAGTCTTCATCCCAGATTTTTCGTTTCTAGGTTGAATCAACCATCAATTTCGAATAGACATAACTTCTCAACTCTCTAGGAAATTTTCATGTCACTAAATTATTACTCTCTGAGTGGTTTCAGTATGATCGGTTGTTAGAAATCCATAATTCGAATTGAAAATCAAAAGCTTAGTGATATAATTTCATAACTTTATAATGATCAACTTGGTTCACTTAGTTTCGAACTAAAAATATCTTACAAGGCTCAATCATACTTTTATCTTCTTCTAATGGAGATGTCAATATCCGTCAAAAAATTCAACTTGAGATTACTTCGTTCAGTGCTATAATTTGCTTCCAGACAATTTTTTTATTCACCTGAAATGTTGTTTTTAGGTCCTTCTCCTATCTCACCATCGTACGAAAATTTGTAGAAATAAGTTGGTACTTTATGTGACATCAGTTTGGCATGTTCACACATATGTATATTCATCTGATTGTCACTAGTCCACTGAAAAAATTCAAAACAAACCTTATTGTTTGCATACAGCAAAGATATCGATGCAAATTTCAATATAGTTGATTCAAAAATGGTGCGAAAAATTCAAAAACTATCTAAATTATATCTACCACTGATGAGCTTCTTTCAAAAATCTATAAGTTTGCCATAGACAAAGCGACATAAGATTATAAATTAGTTATTCGAAATCTATAACATTTCATTAACGCTAATATTCTCTTCAATGAACAGGTATAGCTTAGAAAAGATCTGTACTTCCCAGCATAAAAGGCAGACTTTTTTATACTGGGAAATTTCACCCGAATTTTATCATTTTAAGGTTAGATAATTATTATCAACAAACGACAAAAATTTTTTGTTCTGTATCTATGTAGTTCGAAATATTTATCATACATACACCCCATATTCGAACATTTTTGTATGTTCATGAGTGAAGGGTTAAGAAGAGTTCGACGACAAAATTCTGTTTTCTCAAATAGACCCATTCTCGTTCCACAAGATTCCAATCGCCTGCGATTGGATTGTGGAACACCCACCTCGTCGTAGGTGTGAAGTGTATAAGAGTCAGACGAACGACCAAAATATTTGTACGAGTGTGGTCTGAGAAGTTTCCGACCTCAACATGAAGATAGCAGCACTCGTATATAAAAGCTAGTGGAGTTCGTTGTTCATCTGTTGACAGTTACTCACCAAAGTTTCAGCCATTTTGGACGCGCAGTTGTTATGTAATAGATTGGAGATGAAGAGATAGCAGAGGTTTTAAACATGTCAAAACAATGGGTTTGTCACATAGTATATCAACACATTCAGGCATGAGAAAGCTGGGTGCCGCTTTTTTACATCAGACCAAAAATGTGTTCGAATAAACATTTCCAACGCTCTTTTGGCGCAATTTTGGGCCCAATTGGTTACTGTAAATGAAACTTGAATACACCATCATACACCCGATACAAAAATACAGTCCAGACAGTGGACTGTTGAGGAAGAACTGGCTCTGAACTAAGCAAAAACTGTTTTTTCGCCCAGGAAAGTCATGAAGTTATTTCATTCGATTATCCTCAATAAGAGAAAACCATTTCTGGAGCATATCACGCATCATTATTTGACAAGCTGAAGGCAGAAATTGCGAAAAAACGGTCACATTTGCAGAAGAAGAACGCATCCCTTCATACCTCACCGGTTGCCATGGCGAATATCAACGAATCACGGGTTGAACTGCTTGGTTATCCGCCTTACTCACCAGATTCAGCCCCATGCGACTTCTTTCTGTTTCCTTATCCAAAAATTACGCTCGGAGAACACAGATTTTCGTCAACAATTATTTTGTAGTGAAAAACGCCGGGACGTACTATTCGGATGGGTTACAGAGACGGTAGCATCGCTGGGAGCAGTATGTAAAGTCAAAAAAAACTATATTGAAAAAAAAATCTGGAAAACTGTCTTGTATCTTTGTTAGGTCGAAACTTTTCAGACCAACCTGATATAAGTGAGTAACGGTTCCCTCTGCAAGATCACGATCCATGCCGCAATTCTCACAATTATCTACTGTGTTAATTTGAAAATGTTTAAAAATGTTTCATTGTGAATTTCACTAGTTTGGACTTTCATTGTGTAACAGATACAATATGATTTGAAATCTAAGATTAAATAAAATTGAAAATTAAAATAAATAGCTGAAAATAACAATGAAATTAATCAATGAACCGTGAAATAATCTGTTTAATAAAAATCTGTTTTTCCGTTAATCAGCTATCGCCCCCATACGAACGACACCTCCAGAAGTTGAGAAACTTGTGCGAGCTAAGGACTAACGAGGTCTTACCTTTCAACGTGTGATTTCTAATATAACAATAAAATAAAAATAAGAAAAAATTGTTCGTATCCACGATCGTCTTCGGGTGATGACTGAACTATCCTTTTGAGAGATGATTATTCGAAAATTTTCTCTGCGTTAGCTTGACTGAATGCGTCGTTAGACAAGAAATATGTAGCTTCTTTGAACCTCCTCCCAAACCAGTGTTCCTCCTTGTGAATGATTTCAGCTTGCGTTCACTTGATGTAATTTTAATGAGTTTAAACATGCTCTGCCTTCCCCGATTTGGTGGTTTTCTCTCAATGTAATTTTATTTCACGGTTTATTGCCTGATATGATTGTTATTTTTGATATTCATTTCAGCCATCTTTTTTTTGGTTCTTCAGAGACTTCATATCATATTATACCATTTCATTTCTCTACAGTTTTCTCGTATACTCTTGTTTATGTTGGCAAATTGGAAAGTATAAATAACCTCTACCCCCACCTCTGCTTGAATAATAATTTTTCTGAAAATTCATGAGGATTGAACCTAAGAACACTCAGTTAACTATGAAAACATTTTAAAAGCAGTTGTTAACCAAAACGTCCATCATTCCATAAATTGGTGGATGTAGCCGTTACTACTTGGTAAGAAATCATAATAAGGAAAAGAGAATTGTCTTATGGCGAAACATCGATGTCTACCAGTAAGGATGACAGTTTTCCATGTAAGTGCAATTTGTTACAATTCATTTATAGTAGAACTCCTGTGGATGATATCTGAATTTCATTCCATAACGAATGTTTGGAATACAAACTGAGTAGTGAAAAGTATCTTCTGTATAATTCATTATTCATGTAAAAGTATTTGTTTCGATAAATTTTTTTTCTTTCGTGTAATTCAATGTTTATATGAAAGTAGCTGTTTCAGGAGGGCTTTCTCCCAGTTTGTGTCTGAAAGTTGCTTCTTTGCATGATCTAAACATCAATGTATAGAGTTAATTATTTTCAAATTGATTACTTCCTTCCTTTCTTTGGAAGATTCCCACATATTTTTGTATCAAGATGGAGTAGTAGAAAGCCAAAAACTTTCTTTCTCTAAAATTAATGACACCTAAAAATATAACTCCTTCAATTCAGAATTGAAAACTTTCTATGTTTTTACCGCTTTTATTTGTAACTAACGTTACTGCAGTTTCGTCCTATAAGGACATTTTTAAAGTATAAGTTAGAAAATGTCCTTATAGGACGAAACTGTAGTAACGTTAGTTACAAATGAAAGTGGTAAAAATATAGAAAGTTTTAAATTATCTTTTCTTCATTCCATCATTTAAGTTGTCATTGGGAAGATAAGTTGATTTCAATTTTCAACATTTGCCACGCTCTGAGAAATACTATGTATATTAAATAACTTACTCTGACATAGGCAGCGGTATCATGTTCGAAAGAAGTGTTCGTATATAATCCTTTGATCAGTTCTCCAGCTTTAGTTCTATTTTCAGGAGATGTATTGATTCCAAGTGGTACAAGTTGTGCTGGATTCTTATCGAGTGCTATCCGTGAGCTCACATTCGAATCTGGAGTGAAATATATCAATGAATCATTGACATCAATGAAGAAATTTAAAACTAATTAAGTCTGAATGAATGAATTATTCATGCAGTACATAATTTATTATTACGTTATGTACTGAAATAACAATTTTGATCCATGGACATATTTTTCTTCTTTTACATGTTCAAATAATAAGGTGAATGTTCAAATTTCGCAGGCTACACACATTCGATTAGCGACTTTTTTACATTTTTATGTTGATACAGTCGTCTCGAATATATTTTCACAGTTTTAGCTATTGAGCATGTTTAGTTTATTGGTGAAGGCATAACAGATGCGTTTTGCGTGTCAGACAATATCCTGCTACCCACAACTACCTAAACTTTATTCGTTGATTAAATTACACAAATATAACCACCCGATTAAACCGGTAGTTTCACAATTATTCATAACTACACGAATTTCAAATCAAAATTCAGTTTGAGGAAAACATACCATTTGATCAAAGAAATTCAAGATATTACATTCCCCCCGGATAATGTCAAATTGAGTTCATTCGCTGTAATCTGTTTCCCAGTATTCCTCCAAATGAAACGATTACTCTTGTTGAGAACTATTGGAGGAAATGTCTAATCCGATAGTGAGAAAGGAAATATAAGTGTGTTCGTCACAAACTTACTTCCAATTCAATGAAACTTTTTACTCGTTCTGCAAAGGTCTCATAATGGAAAACCCACTCAGTGATATCCTGGTATGATTCACAGGAACGAACAGACAGTTGACTAACTTCTTGAATTTCATTAATTCCCTCCACCCTTTTATCACATTCACAATGGAGATGGAAAAGGACGACTCTATACATTTTTTAGACTTGAAAATAACAAAACTTAACAACAAACATGATTTTTCAATTTATCGTAAACTGGCACATACAAATATTATCATTCTTGATTCCTCCACTCACCCGTATCAGCACAAAGTAGCAGCTTTCAAGAGTATGATCCACAGACTGATAAATGTGCCCTTGTCAGAGGCAAATTTCAATAAAAAATTGAACATAATAAAACAAATAGCCGTCAACAATGATTACGATAACAGTCTAATATATTATATATTCTTTATTATCAAAAAAGTTATACAGTCAAGTTTTGAAAGAAGTTTACCCACTTCGAAGAGAAGAGAATAAAAGTTATAGAAACTTAACCTACTAAGGCGAACCCACTACAAATATTTCAGGTTTTCTGTATAGCCAAGGTATAAATATTCCTTTCAAAATCAACAACAACTTAGGCATATACATTAAGAATAACAAAGATGAAAGTTCAGTTTCAGAAAAATCGGGAGTGTATGAATTATCATGTGGGTCATGTTCGATATTTTATATAGG